GAATTAAAAGGAAAACGCTGCTATTAGCCAGGTCATCAAATCAAACAATCATATCTAGGAGAATAGATTCTACACACAGACTTCTATCATTTGTTCCAGTGTTTCCTAGAAGAAATACTTGGCAATGTTTGGAATATCCTGTTCTAATGGTTTATCGTTTCCACACTTCACATACACACACGATTCCAGATCCTATATTTCTTCTCACTCACTGACAGCTCCTCACACTGCTACTTCTGCCTCTTGTCTGCACTGCCAAGTCCCACCTGCTGTGTCAGATATTCCCTCTGTTAACAGATTTATTAGCAGCTGAAACTCGCACACAGATCAGGCCAGTGCCCTCTGCAATGCACAGCCTGCAATTGGCAAACAAATGAAATACAAATGGCAATCAAATCCCTTTATATTAAAATGCAAATTAATGGATTGCTATTTATTAAAGATGTATAGATAATATTTACAGCTCAGGTGATGCTAGAACTATACTTTATATTAGCCAGCTAGTGCAGCTTTTTTAAAATACTGCAACTGCAAACTGAAATTAAATATTTCAACTAAGGCTCAATTTCAAGGTAACTCTAGTAACCTTGAGGTGCTATAAATGGAAATTCGCCTTCAGGTCCACTGTTCAAGAAACTACGTGTGAGTTTTCAAAAATGTGTTTTTCTATACCTGCAATAAATCCCAGAGGCCTCTACTGTTACTGAGCCCTAGTTAAATTAGCCCTGTGCTCTGACACGTCTATCAACAGGGCCATCAATCAAAGCATAACAACAAAATGACAAAAACGGTGTACCGTTTCTGATTTAAAGTTCAGGATTCAGGGTTATATCTGTATGTGTAGCATTATGATTTACTCTCCAATTAACCATGTTATTAATCTGAAGAGATTTCAATACAAAGGACTGTGCTTCCACACACAAAATCTGTTCACGTGTGTAACTAGCGCTGTAAACGTGTGGCTGAACAAAAACATGTATTTTACATTTCTCTGCCTGTCAGTTAAAATAAATTTTGTGCCAGCCTCCCTTACCTTCCATATGGAAACCATGTTGAGATTATTGTGAATACTGTAAAACTCCATAACCTTTTCTTGTCAGGCCTCGTTTGATAACTAAAGTTCCCCTCACTAAAGAGACCCAAAATGTTTGTGAATATCAGGTGTGGACAGTGGAGAGAAAAGCTGAAAGAGGTGGCATAAGCACTTTTTTAAAGCCTTTTCCCAGACATTATATTGACGTCCTATAGCAGAACTGCTCAAATGCTGGGCTGAGCTGAAAGTGAAAGGTTAACACTAAGGGGTCAATCTTTAATGCCTATACCACTACTATAACATATCCTTGCTGGAAAAGATCAAGATAACACAGCAAAAGCACAAGCATGCTAAACCCCGTGGGTCCCACAAAGCTAAAGTTTACACATCAGGCGATGCTCTCTCCATCTCATTAGAAATTCCAGCACTGGCCATGGTGTGAAATTTCAGCCTCCTCTAGCGCACACTATCACTTGTTTACAGGACGATCCTAATAAACAGCGAGATGTCAACAGCTGAGATACCAGCGCCAGGGAAAGAGAAACCCAACACATTGCTGCTGCCAAAGTACGGTTGATCCCTCCTGCTGGATCAATACATTTCCAGGGTCGTATTTGGAGGTGACCCACTTGTTAAGGGAAAGATATACTGGGACACATTAGAAGGCCACAGAGCTGAGTCACTGGGCTTTTTCAAGAAACAGCCCAAAGGAGGTTCTTGGATCAACTACAGATAGTACTAGAAAGTATTAAAGTTTTCTTTTGTCCTTCAATCCGTCACATTAAAGTTAAAAGAACAGATTTGTAGAAAATAATGTTTGTGCACTGTTCACTATGAAACACAACAGTTGTTCACTATGAAACACAACAGTTTGCGTCTTTCACATTGTTCCTCTCCATTACGTTACAGGTAGATATACCCTCTCTGCACATGCTAGAGACAGTGCATGAATTTGAAAAGGACCTTACAGTCCTGTGCACTCCTAATGGTTCTTCTGTAAAGGCAGTACAAGTCTCTCAGATGAACTGGGGGCTCACAAATTGAAGTTAAGTATTTACAAGGAAGTGCCAGGCTTACAATGAAATAACTGTGCAACATGTCAGTTTCCTTTCACACTGAACTGACTGCAGCAAGAGAGCCTTGCAAAGACAAAGATCTGAGTCTGCATCACCAGTGAGAAAGGGAAATGAAAAGAATATTTTTACAGAAATGATCAGAGGCTCTTGTGCATTTCATGAGTAAGATCCAGTGGCAGTTTGTCATGCATATTACTACCCACTGAGTTGTACTGTCCTCCTGAAAAGTAAAAACAAAATATAAGTGTGCCCTAGTTTTGCACTATTTTACTTACGATATGGGAAAGGTATTACTGGCTTCTCCTCACTCTGACAGAACACATTGAACTGTTCACCAGATATGCTTATAGTTTATTGTGTGATGTTGTAACAATTCTGCAGGACAATGCAAATGAGGCCAGGAGTCCCTAGCTGAACTGTTTCAAGTGAAACAGGCTGATAGACAAGGGGATTCAAAGGCTTCCTTGTTGCCATGGTACAGGGGAAGGCCCGGAAACCTTCAGCATCAGCACAGCATTTAGAAAGGCATGACACAGCACTTACCTGCTAAAGTGTAATCCATATCAAAGCCAAAGCATTTAATCTTCTCCATTGCCAAGCTTCTGTTTACAAACACTCTAAGAAGAAGGTAAAGGACAGGGTCAGTGAGTTCAGCCAATAAAGAAGCCTGATTTCAACAAAAATAAACAATAAGGCTTAGAAACAGGGGCCTGGTACTACGGTAGGGTCGGGTAAAGAAAGAGATGATAGGACAGAAAATGTAGATTGAGATGTCTGACAAGAAATGAGCAGTCTGAAAAAGTGAACAGTTTTGACAGACGTTTGTTTCTCACTCTTGTTGTGTCTCCCACAGAAAATCAGTAGTCTTCGCAATTTTGAAAAAAAAAGGATGAATTGTTATTGTAAGGAAACCTTATTAAAAACATGGTTGTTGAGTATGAGTAGGCTGAAGAGTCTCCCACATTTTGATGTGTGCCGCACAGACCACTTCTGTTCACCACGTGACTTTGTGAAAGGCACTCAGTGTCAGCCTTGCGCGTTTAAAACACTCTTCCACACTCAACACCTTCTGTGTTTATGAGAACTGAATGACCAAAAGATGTGATCTTTACCCTGTCCTTTGGTATAAAATGTTTGTTTTTGTCCTGCTTGCCTGCCACTCTTGAGTTGTGTTTCACAGTAAAATTAATCTCTTTCAATGTAATTCCTTAAACTGTGAAAAAACAGTAACCAATGCCTAATTTTAAACATCTCTGGCTTTAGACCACGTTCAGAATGATAGTTTTGATAAGCTATAGCCAGACAGAGTTTTCTCAAACACTGTAGTATAGCTACTGTATATAGAGATGGATGGCTCAATATTATAAAAACAGATTAATAAACGTATTCATCAGTTTCTGTCCTACAAACATGCTGATCTTACTGGATGTCCTTTACTTATACAGTTTGTATTTTCTCTTACAAAATGTACCAGAGACTGCATACAATAAGATTTGAGGACAACATTCATTGCAGCAAACTTATCCCAGTATATGTTAGAGAATCCTCAGACCAGGGGACCATATTCAGCAACCTGCACATCGAACGCATTAGCCTGGTATCTTATACTAGTCTAGGAAAAGTCCTCAGCAATAATAAATCAGACAATGACAGGCCAATGTATTCTGTTACACGGGACTGACCTTATGTGACTCACACAAAAGAACTTGAAACAACTCACTACCTCATCCATCAGCTCATCAGCATAAGAAACCCTTGTTGGGATGTTTTTCAAGTCCACCCCTGAAGCCGAGAACAGCCTGCACTGCTGCAGAGGCCAACACCAATGAAATACGGTCAAAATGCTCGTTTCCAACCCCTCAGACTTAATGGTTTTCCCACTGGCTGTCCTTGACACTGAGTATGATGCTCACAACATATCCTTGCCTATCTTCAGAATAAGTTCAAAATAACTTGCCAGACAAAAAATGAATGCAAGACTCAATTAAAACACGTAAGTACATTTCAGTGCCATTGTTGCGTCGTATCTTACTTCATAACTCATTATTCTGTCAATTTATTTTTAATTGGCTTTTCAAGAAGCACATTTTTTCACCCCATGATGTTTCCGGATCTGTAAAACAAATTCTTAACTCTGCATGTTTTCTAGGACATACAGTATAGGAGCCCTTCTCTTACCACTGACACACGATGAGATCCAGCACACACCAAGCACAAAAAACAAGATATAAGACAATATGAAAACACTTGTTTTTTTTATGATGGTAGAATTTCTGTAGGATTTTCTTTTTCTTTGGGTAGTTGCAACTACAAGCTTATGCTATCACGTGAAATAGCATACAAAACATTTCCCATTCTTTTCTGACAAAAGAGAAAAGTCTATCTCTGTTGTAAGGAATTCCAAATAATTTAACACTTTAAAGGAAAATTCCATTACTGAATCACATAGGAATGGAATATTTCAGAGACTTGCTCTGAGTCTCCCGTCAATATCAATATACAAAGGATCAGAAATGTATGTTTTCTCATTAGTAAGAGTAAAGTCCAGAGCATGATGATGTGTCTTGGGGCTCAAGCTCTTTACTAAATCATCTATTTTATCAGCAGCATGACTTTAATCCTCACACCTATCACTTTCAATTTCCACTGCTGAAGAAACCACCTGCCTTGCTAAAAATAATACCCACAAAGACAGACTAATCTATTACATTTTACCTATTTTCTTAAATAAATACTGTATATGCCTGTTCTTAAATGTATTCCCACATGTCCAGTCTATGCCATGACACCCTACTTGTCTTAACATATCAAATCCTAATTCAGACAGCAATTAGTTTTGATAACTTTATGACATAACACAAGGTTATACAATGAATTGATGTCCTTCATCATCCTGAAGATCCTCCAGGTCCATTAAGAATTTCTTGAAAAAAATGGAAATGATTAAATCTGGTAAAGGATACAGGCTCGGCTATACACCATTTTTGATCAAAAGTGGGGCTCTGCTGAATGAGCTGTTTTTGTGAATCACGGTCTACAATATAAAATACAGTTTACAGGGCCATTCTGCCAGAGACAAAGCATCAGACAGGTGGAAGTGTAAGAGAAAGCAGACTATATTGCAGGATCCTTCTATGGTCAAGACAGAGCTCCTCACCATCTCTAATTCCTAATCAGCAAAGCCATCAGCTACTGAAATGTACACCACACGCCCTTAATGTATTAATATTGTTAACATTGTACTGATACATTCTACAACTAAAAAGCTGTCTAAGCTAAGTCAGTAGCTTAGTGACAAACATTTTGCATACAGTACCTCATTATAGGGTGAAATAGGTTCAGTTCCCAAGGAATGCTTTGTAATGAAGGAAAATGTACAGAACAAGTTAATGTCGCACTTAAAATCAGTGAAGAGCAAAAGCCTTTGCAGTAGTGAGAGCTGTATTGAGTTACACACAAATGGATAATGTACTAAACCAGGGAGGTAGAAACACTGGTTTATATTGCCTGCCCTTCTTTGTTCATTCATTTCTCACTTGCTGTTCTCACCAATTGTGTGCATTCTGTGAGGTTCTCTGTTGCTGAACCAGCTCGAAGTCTGTTGTCCGCAATGCTTATAGTGTTTCAGTAAACAGTAAACAGCTTCGTAAAGAGGTTTCTAGCATATTCATTGGGAGAAGGTTGTGGGGATGTTGTATATCACAGAAAATGTCAGAGGTTTATTTTGTGAACATAAAAGCATGGCGGCTAACATAGTGCAAAATGTGCCTCCCAGTATTTTATTTTTTCAAATTAAGCTGTAACAAAGCTCTTTAGAATCCCTTTTTTGCTGAAATTGTAAACAGGTCTGGCAAGTCGCAGGTGAACCAAGAATTCCACCTACTAGCTGAATACTAGTGATCTCACACTACTAGGGTGTGGTACAGGTGATGGGAAATCATTGCTTTACAATAACAAAAAAACAATCAAAGGTATTTACAATAATTATACACGCTCACTTTGGTTGTATTACAGTGGGGGAGTGCATGTAGAAGGTAACACTAAAAGTAAGATGAATAAAGAAATTTGAAACTTACTCAAGAGATTTCACAAAACAAAATATTGGTTTGACATTACTTTGGTATACACTGGAAATCATGACACAAACAGCAGGCTGTGCTAGCATTATGGAATTTTTTTCAAGCTTAGACTTCCCAGCATGAAACTTATGCTATGACGACAACAATCCGACTACTGTACAAGGCGAAAGTGATAATCTTTTTAAAATAATAGTAGAATAAGAAGTATTGTATATCTTCACTTATACACAGTAGCTGAAAATAGTTTTCATTTTTATAGCAGAAATCAAAAGCTATCGGTACACTTTTGCACACTGAAATATGACAATACTGAAAGAGAATACATGCATTACGTGCTCTGTTAAGAGAAATCTGGCCGTGTGTGAAGTAACAGAAAAATAGAACATCTTGTCCTTGGCCCAACCTCTGGGGATGTGTTAACCTGGCTGTTCAGCCCAATGACACAGCTGTGCTGAAACATAACACTCCAGCTCTATTGATGGCTGCTGAGGTCAGGAGCAGAGTTCTCCAGATTAGCTTAATGAAAGGTTAAAGGTTCTCGACGTTACTTTATCAAAGGTCAGGCTTGATGTTCTACAGCAACGGGTTTAAAAAGAATTTCTAGAAAATAAAAGGGATCCAGGATAAAAGAAAAAAAAAAGAGTTAAATTAGGCAGTACGAAAACCGGATTGCTCTGGTTTGTCCTGGGTATGTATGACCTGGCCTTGAACTTATAGAACATAGTCAAGTTCTTTTGAATGGTTATGGATTCAACCTTAACTGTTTGTGCTTCTCAGAGGAGAACCAAAAGATGCATTTTGCCACAGCTACTGCAACTTATTTCCAAATTAAGTGGGATTATCTTATTTTCTACAACACCAGTTTGACCACAATGAATAGCTAATAAAATATGAAAAAGGCCGATAGCTGGGGTCCTGGGTTCAGTGGAGTTTGTATATTCTGCCCGTGTTCTCGTGGGTTTCCTCTGGGTGTTCCGGTTTTCTCCCACAGTTCATCCTGGTAGGCTCACTTGATTCTGGGACAACTGGCCCTGATGTGAGTGAGCGTGTCTGTGTGTTCCCTGTGATGGTTTGGCGTCCTATCCAGGGTGTATCCTGCCTTGCACCCCTTTGTTGCGGGTATAGGATAGGCTCCGTTAAAAATGGATGGAGGGGAAAGGCTGATAACTGCTAAGAATGCTTAACTGTCTTTCCTCCCCTCTAAACAACGAACAATTCTTCAATATAGTACACAAATCTATTCTTGGTTTCAAGAAGACAGCGTTCAGTGCAAACTTGCTGTTTTTTTATATTTATTGTGCTTTCTCCAGTTTAACATGCTTGCGTTCAGCTTTCTAAGCTGACTTGACTTGCTGTAGTGCACGTTACCCTCACAATTAAGCCGATCTTCTGCAGTTTCAGTTGGACACAGTAAACAAATGTCTGAGCCGTCTGAGCCCTGTCGTTAAGGACACAGAAACCACAGTCTAGCTCAGTGAGGCTTAGGAATGTATTTTTCACCAAACTGTCCAGCTAAACTTTCAGTTCCGCCAGATCCCACAGGGAGAGAATTCCTGTTTATTTCAGTTTTCGATAGAAAAGTTACAAATCTAGAAGTGACTGCATGATTGGTTTAGTTTTATTGCAGCCACTTAGGATATGGATCAGGATCTTTTCCAATTTTGACATGTTTTGCATGAAAAAACCTCCACTACTTCATACTTATCTTGAATAAGTGTGGCTGGCATTGTGAGATTACGGATTTTATTTGTAATGTGCCAAAATTAAATATTAAGTGTTTTAAATTAATTAATTGCAATATGAGTTTCTTATAATGTACCACTGTTACACCAATTACAGGTACACTATTTTATTTAAATGACAAAAACTGAATTTTTAAACAGCACAAATACTGCCATACTACACACAACTATGTGGTGCTTTTTATCAAGTTATCTTTTGGTTACTTAAGGCCTGCAATACTTGAATGTCTAATGAACTGATAAGTGGATCATATTATCAGATCTGATGCAAATCCAAGATCAGAGTAGTCAACCTTGGAACCTCAGATCAACTTTCAACTCACACCATTTAGGACGTTGAACCTTCCAATACATAAATTATTGAACTGATCCTATTCATTAACCTAGGAACCACAGAACAGTTAGATTAATAAGGATTAGAAGGAACAAAAACCTGCAATGTAGTAGGAAAGAACTGTGAGGCACAGGTGTCATTACTTAATTTGCCCTTTATGTTTCTCCAGCGATCTGCTTGTAACCATTTCAGGCACAGAGACTTGTTTAGTGCAAAGCAATTTAGAGGACACAGATAAGTTCAACTCATGGGATGTTGACTTGTAGTTACTGAACTCTTTTCACACATAATCCCCAAACTAGGGCTGAATCCACACCACAGACAAGACAGTGTGTCTTCTCCTGCAAATTACATTGCACTTCAACAGTATTTTTTTATTAGGCTTTCATCTCCTGCTGTGAGCCCTTTCAATTTTAATTTGGAAATTCTGATGAAGGAGATGCAGTTCATCCAGTACCTGAAATGTTTCCAGCCTATTCTGCAAGCAAAAAATAATGAATGGAATGGAATAAATGGATTTTTTTTAATGCACACAAAAGTAATACTGAATTATTTATGTTTTCTATCCTTGTGTGCATCCAAAAACTGCACATTTAAATTTTGTGCATACTTAATTTTGCACTTCAGCTGTATCTCATTTTATTTGAAGGTACTTTTGCAAGGACAACATGGCCAGCAAGAGCAGATTCAGAATATCCACCCACTGCCTGGGATTTAGATATTTCAGCCTAATTAAACTCACAACCCTCTGGATTATCACCCACTAAGTGGCGCCACTTAATCAAGCTACATGCTTGGTATACTGGTCCAGTCCTCTGGTCCATGCACTGATGGGCTCTGGTAGGAGACCATCACTTAGCCGTGACCATCATTTACCAAGTGGCCAAGAACAGTTTGAGTTCACTGGCAAAAAAGATTCCAAATGAAAAAAAAACCCAAACATGACTCTTAAAAAAGTCAGGACTATTGTACATGAGCCATTCCTCACCATGCCTTATGAAACAAGATAAAAAGACAATCACCGAAAGGCTCAGCTCTTTATCCATGAAGGTATCTGTGAAGATATAATTAAATCTTTTATATAAACCAAAACCTCTCTCCGTTCGCTACTATCACCTTTTAATTTGTCCACTCTTTCTTTTCTCTTTTCAGTGTGGAACTGCAGAGCAGCCTCGAGAACATGCTCTTTTAATGTGAGCCGTTTCTAGCCCATGAATCTGAAATCACAACATTCAGTCCAGTTTATCAGGTTTCTTAAGTGCACTGCTTCCTAAACTTTCTCAGCCCACAGCACCCTTTCAACGGCCCAAACTTCCCACAGCAAACTGAATGATTTTGAAAATAATCAAGACTAACGTCACAGGAAATTACACTGTAATCTGTGCTTCAGTTTATAATTTCAGTGAGAATGGTCTTGACTTTTTTTCACTTGAGTTTCAGTATAAAATATGAGCTTGTTTCAGTGAACATCACCTGTGTAATATTTGGCTCTATACTCGAAAGCTATATCTAGCTTTGTAGGTCCCTTTTCAAACATTATCACGTCTGATTACTGCAGTGTATCTGTGTAATTAATATTGATATAAATGTATGCCACACTTGTTACACTAATTGTGTGCAACATATTGTTTCATCACCTCCATTTCATCTCCAGCACTGTTCTTAAAATTCTAAACACATTATTACAAAATTATTATAAAACTTAATCAATAAAACCCACAGTATAGTCTGACTTCAAGATATATCATAGAACTAAAGCAATCTTACTAGTTTAAGCAAACTGTTAAACTGTCAGAAAAACATGTAGTATAATTAAAGAGTAAATGTCAAAGTAAATGGACCTTTTACTACAGTTCAGAAAGCTGTATCACACCTTGCAGTACCTGGTTTCTTAAGACCTTAACTGAAGAGATTTTAGACATACAGCTGCACCTGAAAGGATCTGTACACCCATGTGTACAACTACATAAAGGAACTACTGCAAAGGGGACATTTGAATAAGCAGGAAACTGCAAACAATGCACACACCTATTTGAAAATAGGAGAAATGGAAATAATAGCTTTCCAGCTTGAAAGTTAGATTCACTGCACAAACAGGAGTACCATAACACCAAGGAACACCTACATACAACCATACAGCAGGTCCAAATGTGTATAATACCTCCTCCCAGCCTCCATAAAAACAAGCTAATAAGTACTGCCGGGTGAGAGCCATCCCTCTGCCCTCCTCCTCCCTCTCCTTTGAACCCTGTAAGCTATACCTGTGATAGGCCTCACGCCGGTACTTCTTCATGGCTAGTCCATCCATGTTAGCTGGGAGGTCTGCATAGTTCTGTAGCCGGTCGCTCCATGAAGTAGTCATCTTCAAATCTGCTTGCAGTGAAATCTGATGAAATGAAAGAGCAGTAAGTGTGAGTGCATGTCTGAAAAAAACCGAGCAACAAAAGCAACCATGCTGTTTAAGGGTAACTTGTTTACCTCAAACGATCTTTTGTGCTCAATACAATACATGCTCTGCTAATAGCAACCCACGTTCTCTGATCTCTTGCTCTTAATCTATAGAAAATTCTGGCTTGAAATCAGATTGTCCCAGCACAAAAATAACTAGGAGAACAATGAGCACACAGCAGAAACAGACAGGTATATCGATTGTACCAGAAATACAGTACTACTTCAATTTATATTCAAACAAGGGCTTTAACAAAACCTCTGCCATAAGCCATCAGCAAGCCGCACAGTAAGGTAAACAGGGAATATTTTTTTCTAAACAGGATATAATACCCGGTGAAACCCAGACTACACACTGGTGCAGAGCATCACGCCCATCAGTCTTGGTGAGGTGTCCTGACTCGTGGTGTTTCTAGCAACCCAGGCTAGAAATTGACAGTTTGCTATTGAGCAACAGCATCTAGCACACTAGTGCCACTAAGGTGCTGCGCGTTGGATAAGTGGGTATATTGATTGGGCTTTCCTTATGTCTTTTATTTATCTTTCTTAATTTTCACAGGCTTGACATTCAACAAGTTAAATCACCACATCAAGTCTCTTATTCACAAATGATCAAGCAGTCAGTCACAAATGATCAATTCATCAAAATTAAGCCCAAAACAACAGGTTCAATACACAAAATCTGTAAATCCGTATAATCACACAATGAAATTTGCATTTGATAGCATGTATATTTTAATTTTCGAATCATTCAGAACTAATGAAGACAAAAAAAAAAACATTATTCCTCAACACCACCCTTCCACTTGTTTGTGTTTCTGAAGGTCTAAAAAGGAAGATTGTTGAACCGTAGCTCCTTGGCAAGCTCAAGACAACTGGCAACCCAAGGCAATACTTGGACATTGTAATTACTTTTGATTATAGCTTGCAATTTTAAACGTCCCAAAATTAAAGTCAGAAAAATATCCCACCTACGTATAATTCTGCACAGGCTATCATATAGAAGCTTTACACACACAGTAATGTGGGTTTCAACAGCGCACACTATAGGAGGAAACTCGGGGATAAGCAAAGACATAATTTCTTCAGACTGGCTCGGAGCAGTTATCCATTTTTAAACAAGCCACTGGTTCTCACAGACAGCTGCACAATTATCCCCATTGCAGGAGCAATCAATAATTAAAGCATGCGACAGACAATCTACCCATCTACTTCATTAGCAGATCATTTTATAATCGCATGAAAAGAAGGGAAGGTCTGAAATGTGTTCATCTAAATTGTTTGTTCAAGCTGAATCATTGCAATCAGCATTTAAAGAAATCACCCATCCACAGCTAATTAGAAATTCTGTCAAACTCTATGGCCAAAAGAAAAATCAGTCTGCAGCTAGTTCTCCATGGTACTAAGGCAGATCTATACTACAAGATATCTTAATTGGCTGACCGCAGTTCTGACTTCATTCAAATGACCAGACGCTATGTGCAACTTCAGTACAATAGTTATCAAGCCACGGCTAAAATCTAACTAAACAACCCTAGAATCTAGAATGGTCCCAAACTCAGGTCCTGGAGGGCCTTGTGTCTTCTGATTTTTTATCTATTCTGTGTAGTCAATTAAACAATTAATCTAATTATTTTCTTAATCAGACATACAGTATATAGGATTTGTCTTGAGTTCTTTTACGGTAGATTCCACAAGACATTTAGTTAAATAACCATTAAAGGTACAGCTAGCTATAAATAACACTGGAGTGTGGTTAGAAGTGTTACAATTATGCAGCTATTTAATAGGAACAATAAACCAGATCATACTACTTCCTCTTTGAACTGAGGCTGAGACCCTTGTTCTGGAAGTTGGATCTGTGGAGGGAACATGAAACATGAACACATAGGACTACTCTTCTTGAGTCAATCTGCAGCAAAAAGAATAAACCTCATTTTACTAGGCAGAATTGGTAGCTGGTACTCCCCAGAAAGTTGTATAATCCAAAACACAGACAGGCCCACCCAGGCTATGCTGGGTTTTTCCCCAGTGTCACTTGAGAGAGCAGCACTGTCTGGGGATGCTGCTGCCACAGCCAACGAAGCTGTTCTTCGTAAACACAAGCACAAGCTTACCAAGGAAACGACATGATAAACATAAAAATATAAAAATCTATTATAAAACCCATTTCCATATAGTTAAATATGTACATGTTAAGTTGACCTTTTTATTTGCCCATTATAAGCACCAAAAGTCTTTGTTATGTGTAGAATTAGGAGCTCAGAGTTTATCAAGGATAACAAACTAATGTAATGAAACTGGATTGATATAAAAGTATCAGTTAGAAATGAGCTACAGAAGTAGCATTTGGCAGAAAGGTGAAGCTCGCAGACCACCATATTAGGGTTCATACTTATGGAACTTCAATAGCACAGTTTTACAAATCCATGAAAATGCAATGAGTTATAGTGCAAAATCATTTTCCACGTCACTAGACAAGCATCACTCTTTCCACTCGTCCTCCTGAAAACACACGGTCTCAATTCCTAAGCATAATTGTTCCTTCAGTACCATAAGTAACGAATACTGTGCAGTACGAGACAGGCAGAAAAGCCCTCATTATAGACATAAAAACAAATGTTGCCACAGCCCAAAAACATTAGTTCCAAGTGTTGCCTCAGAAACTGGAAAAATTATACCTCATCTTCACTTTGTTCTGTAAGCTTTTATGCAAACATTTTCACATGCTATTTTTATTTTATTAATTAAGATTTGGTGAATATGATTCCTGCTGGGAAAAACTAAAGCAATACTCACTTGAATGTTCATTCACCACATCTACTAAAGACCATTAAAATGTACAGTTGTTGTGAACTACATTTTCCATTACACCTTATGGGGTGTTATACATTCTTCTTTTTTACTTCTGAAGGTGTTTCAGTTGAATAAATGTTTTATACTGGAGAGAAATACTCTTAATTTATTTTTTTTCAAATACTGCTCCACCTAGTACTTCATAAAGCGTCAGAATGACATACTGTAACCTCTAAAAAAGCCTAGAATGAGAATTTGCTAATTTTATGTTATTAAATGAAGCAGTTTCTCCAGACATTAGGAGAATACTCTATAATTGCCCAACATGTTTCTTGGGTTTAAACAATTTGAGCATTACTAGAACCTTTAGACTATTAACGGTTCCAGCCTTGATCAAGAAGTTTCTACTTTTTCTTAACTGAGATATGGAAATAATAATGATTTTAAAAGAAGTGAAAACTGTGGAAAAAAAAACAAGATTTTTTTAGTTGTTGATTTTTAGAAGATAGCAGACTAATATCTGAGATGTACTGCATCTGTACTAAATGTGTAACAGTCTGATTTTTGTTAACATAGAATTCTAAAGAGGGCTTTGTTCCTATCTGGTTATTTATAGTGTTCTTGTCCGGCTCACTCCTGCTGGAATACTGCTGAGCTAGTTAGCACTGCCATGGCAGCTGGACACACCTCCCCTTACCTGTCAGTCAGTGCTGATTGCTATGGAAACGAGTTCTGAAAGGAGACCTGAATCACCTGTGAGCTATGTATAATCAGGTGGATTAGGATATCTAAGAACCGATCAGGGCTCTTAAATATCCTAGACCTGAGTTTAGGTCTGACCTTATCTCTACTCCCTAACCTTGATCATGTGTTCTCACTTGTTCTGCACAGTTCCAATATAATATGAATAAGATCGCATTTAAAAGTAGAATTTGCTATTCCTGATGTCAAAAACTGCCCAGACATTTTAATGAAGTGTTCCAAAACTGAATGTGGGCATCGAAGAATGAAGCATTCTAAATTTAACACATCAAAAACATTTTCTATTGAATGAAGAAACCACAATGCAGGAAGCCTTGTATGAAACTACATACAATGCAGAAACTACAACATGCAACAATTAAACTCTATAGCTAGACAATTTCAGTTGTCTATGTTTGATGTTTGTTTCTGGCTAAATGTTGTCACCATTGAGATAAATGCTTTTTTCGAGCTTACTCATGATTTCTGTCAATAACTTAAAAAGGCATACTGTAGTTCACCTTCTATAATTTACAGCAATAATGTTGTGCAAGTCTTGGGTATGAACAACAAGCTAGTTATGCTTATTAAGACAAGATTCATGGAGTTAGGCCAAAGAAAGGAGCATTTTGAAACACAAGTTAAAAAAACTGCTGTGTCAGGCAATGTCTTAACAGAGTGTTAGCAAACATATGATTAACTCCTTTTGATATAAATGTATCTTTTTGTGTTTAAAAACGTAGTGCTGAAATATTATAGAATTGCCTTGATTTAAAAAAAAATAGTTTTCATTGTTGCACAATATTTGCAGGCAACAGGACCTATATACAGTACCCATTAGATATTCTGATGTTATTATTTTGTTAAATGATTCTTTTCTACATTGTGTGCATACTGTATACTGTATATTGTTAATTACACACATAAAAATCATTCAATATAAGACAGTATCAATTATCCATTCAAAGGATAAGGAGTGAGATACAGTCTAATAATAATGACTCAACCACAAAAAATGACATTAGAGTTAAATGAAAAACATCTTATCTACTGAATCAAAATAAAAAAAAGCAGTTCTTGTTTCAATCTCAGAAAGGGAAACATCGCAGAATGCACACTTTGAATGTTTTTAGGAGTCGATTTTTTTTGTGACACAATATTTAAATCAGGCTCTTTAGAGAAGAACTCTGGCCGGTATCCCCCTCAATTGTGAAGTCAGATGCCTTCTTACATCACTTCACACTTGCCAGGGAAGAAGCCCAGATTCAGAGCTCACAGACACAAGCCTTTTCCACTGGTGGGACTTTCAAACTCTGGCAGTGTGAAGTGATAAAATTCAGGCCATAAAAAGGTACCAAATTTTCCCTCTGCACCAGCATCAAGTGTTGTTTAGAAAAGGTT